GAGGAGAGGAGAGTCTCATAAAAACACTATATAGAGCAGCAAGAGGTGTGGGAAGTGTGACATGGTTTAAAAAAATTTAACGATTCATTTTTCTTAGTTTACTACTAGGAAACAATGGCATGAAACCCCCAAATCCAGAAATCATACATATTTCTGAATTTTACATAATCAGTGAATTATCTTAAAACCACACTTGCCCTTGACATTGTTGCTGTCCTTACCAGACATACCCACTCTGGATAATTTGTCTTACTGTGTTAAATCACACAAATACAGGTTTTGGTTTTGGAGAAAATAAAAAAGTTTTTTTCAATTTATTATAGCTAACAAGTATACAGATGACTTTCAGGAGGAAAGGATTCTTCCCCTGTTATCTTCTGAATTAATCTGAATCTCAACAAGTAGCCAACAGGCCTTTATTATGCATTTCATTTAAATTACATTAATGTGTAACTCAGGAGGAAAAGTGAATTGTTTGTAGCAGCAAGACATCAGCTGTCTTTGCTTGCTACCTAGAAGAGTTAATGTTACAGCAGGCCACAGCTACTCTACTCCTACTGTATTAGATGCGGGTTTGAGAGTTTCAAGGGGATTTACTGTTTTAGTACCTGATTGTCCCTTTTTAACAAGTGTAAGATGATGCATTTAACAGTGAGAATAATTCAGGAAAGCTACGAGTTCTTTTATAAAGACTTTAATCAGGAGCATGACATTTCTTTTCAAACAAGAGTAACTTCTTAATTGCTTTTGCCTGGAAGGAACTGACTTCCCCAATTTAGTTGGATTTCTCACTGCTTTTTGACTAACGCCCTAATCCTCCTAACCAATTTTCACTCAGTTCCATAGTCTGTTATTGACAGAAGTTTCAAAATTATGAAAATGATACACTTTCTAGGCAGGTAGAAAGAAAAGGAAGGCTTTTAAGATATGTTTACTGTGCCATCAAAAACAGAAATGTGTCACTATATATCTGAATAATATTAATCTCTGGCCAATGGTAGATATTGGCTATACCTTAGAAATAATGGCATGGACTTTATCGTAGGTCTGCTGCTCAGGATCTCAAGGGATTTTATACAGGTCTCCCCAACACACATTTCCATGGTTTTACTGCAATTGGTATGTGAACTCGTAAGATTAAAAGTTGTTCAGGAAAGTCTCTGCAGGCTGCAGCACCTACAGTTGAAGCTCAGTCATATTCTTTCTAGGTGCAAGCTAAGATCTTTCTACATAAAGCAGCAAATGGAATTTATAGAAATGATCAAGATTACACTCCACATTACAGAAAAACACACAGCAAGACAGAAAATTAAATACACGGTGAAACTGCAATTAAATAAATATTGTAAGGGAAACTCATAAGTGAGATATCAAAGCTATTCTCTTCACTGCCTCCCAAAAGAAAATTGAAGAACAGCAGACTATTTGCAAAAACTCCTCTCCAAATCCACTTTCTCTGGCTCGTCTCCAAGTGTCATCTCAGTCTGAGAGCCTAGGAAAAAGTTGAGGGCACTAGCCAGCCAGCTGATCAAAAGTAAAAGCCGTGATGACTTTCAAGCATTTGTCTGTCTCTCGGACTATAGCACAAATCTTCAAGGGCCTCTGTAACCACCTGCAGGATTGACTTTGACTTGGGACCTATGAAATAAAGGTGCTTTTTGAGGCAAATGCTCTTTACACATCAAATCTTGGTTAATTTCCTTTATTTTAAACTTATCAGTCACAGTGACATTTCTGATACCCAAATCATGCTCTTTTTCTGCAGCTACACTCTCCTGGTTTCACTGTCATCTAGCAGCTCTTTTGTCATGTCTCCCACTCCTGTAGTGCACTGCTGCACTGTCCTTTTCGATTGACGGCTTGCTTCCGTTTTCTATCCCTTTCATCACCTTGAAGTACCTCTTTTTTGAAACCAAATGCTGTTTTAATATTCATAGCTTATGTTCTATATGTAAAGGTTCTGTACCAGCACTGTAGCCAGGTAGGCAAGAAATAAAGCAACTAGGGACCAAGACACTTGCAAAAAAACCCTGGAAATTACTTCTTTACTCACCTAAACAAAAAAAGCAAATAATGAAATATTTAGTCCTCAAAATTGATTTTCATTGAAAAAAAATTAAACGTATGCATTTTGAACAGTATAGTCACTGCCCCTAGCCTCTGAATTTTTATCAAAAGATAGAAAACTGTAAATAAAATAATCATTAAGCCCAGATTCTTATTCAAACAATAGCTATTTTTCCAAAATTAGCTCTCCAGAGTTGCAGCAACATTTCTGTGAGTTTTTGATGGGCTTTTAGGGGGCTTGAAAAGCCGTTAGAAATTGTAATTAGCTGTAGCATTATCCTCATCTTACCAGTCCGGTCCTCTTTTATTTTTTATTCTTTTTAATTGAAGTTTCTTGCTTTTACTGTGACAGTGAATTCATAACAACATTTTCAAAACAAGTATTTCACTAACTAGTGAGAGGAGCTGGTTAGCCAAAGTATCAATCTTTCTGTTCTTCTGTTTATACCTCCTAAAGTCAGGAGCCTACTTTGCTGACAGTAAGCCAGTCCTTTGCCTCTGATATTTCCTAGGTATGCCTACAACCAGATTAAAAACTTCTGCTGGACCAGGCAGATTTATCCACAGTTCATCCAAAGCTCTTAATCAGATTCAATTTCCTCTTGTCCTTGTCCTTTTAATTCTCTCCACATTGTCTGCCTATACCTTAGCTTCAAACTTCAGCAACTCATCTTCTCTTCCAAACCTGGAAATAGCATCTCATTCCCAGATTCAAAACCCTGAGATCCATCTCTGCAGCTAATAGAGAAGCTGTCTGCACCTTCAAAGTTCTCAGGTCCATAGAAACTTGCTGTGTCTATTCTATTTGTAGCTCCCATCAACCTCAGATGGCAGATTGTTTTCTGTCCTCCTTCCTTATTTTATGTCAGTGGATAGACAATAATGTCCCAGTCTTCTTATATCTAATGCCTGTGGTTTGAATCTTTGACTTCAAAGTATTTTCTCTACCTAACATTTTAAATCCTGCCTAAAAATCTATTTCTTCTACTGCTCTTTCAATTCCACAGTCACAAATGTCAGCTGACGCTGTCCAAGTTTATTGGTTTTTATCTGAAACTTTCTCACTGCATTCACCTCTTCTACCGGTATCATCAATCTAACTTTACTTCCCCAAAACAGTTAGCTTTAGTTAAGTATCTTTTCCCAGTGTCACAGTGGAAGATATAGGCCATATTCTGTTTCATTGGTAATGATACCAAACTCTGTACACAAACAAACTGATGCACAGGAAGTTCCGTCTGAACATGAGGAAGAACTTCTTCCCTCTGAGGGTGACGGAGCCCTGGAACACGCTGCCCAGGGAGGCTGTGGAGTCTCCTTCTCTGGAGATATTCAAGACTCGCCTGGACAAGGTCCTGTGCAGTCTGCTGTAGGTGACCCTGCTTCGGCAGGGGGGTTGGACTAGATGACCCACAGAGGTTCCTTCCAACCCCTACCATTCTGCGATCTGTGATTCTGTGAAAATGAAAGCTTAACTCTAGGTAAGGGGAACAGATATAATTCTGTAGCAAAGCAAAAAAGTGTGATTGTTGAGTTCTCACAGTTTAACTGGATGTCTTGTGACATTTGATGTTCTTTCTCAAAGTTTTTAGCTCTCAAAGGTAAATGATTACATAAGACCCCTTTTTTAAAATTTTGTTTCAGACAGACTTTGACAAGCAACTCAGACAAATCTCGTTTAGACAGTGTATGACTCCCACAGCTCAAAACCAACAATATCTAACCTTTAGGTACATCAAAAATAGCTTGGAAATATGACCAGAGTGAAGTTGAAAGGCTTAGTGAGCAAAAAAGCAGATTAAAAGAAAAGATTTTTTAAAAAGTATTTTTAGCTATGCTAATTTTGTTTGTGTCACTCATACCCTGGGAAACCTTTGAGATGGTAATAGTCAAAGACAGGTCTCTTCTGACTCAAGAAGTCAGACACAACAAATCTATTCACTGAAAACCCCAAACTGAGTGTACGCATATCTGCAGTTTCAATAGTAGAATGATATAAACTATAGATCCTGCAAAAAATGGGGGGTGGGCCGCAACCCCCCAGCTCCTGGCCCACGGCCCTTTGACTTGTTCGCAGGCTACCACAGTGCTCCACAGAGGCTGACACTTCTCTGCAGCCCCACTGACAGGCAGAGTGGCTTCTCCAGCACTCACCACCGGCCGGTGCACGTCCCAGAACGCTCGCTCCTGGCTGTCAAGAATCTTCCTCTCTATCTTGTCTCTCTTCTTGTCCACTCTGTCAACATCACAAGATATTTAAAAGAAATGGTGTTAACAACAGTAATTTTAAACACAGCAAGTGTCCAGTCACTTGTCTCTCCCCTTCCCCCATTCAAACAGCAGACAAACCCAAAACTCCTCTTCTTCAAAGGAACTTACTTTGCTTGTGCTTCAGCTTGCATAAAAATAAACTCCCATTTCCGAGCAAACGCTCGCTGTAGCCTGGCCAAACTCTCCTGAAAATACACCGCAGTTTTAGTGGGTTAGGTTGTAAGTTATTTACTATTTGATAGCTTTTAGCTTATCTTTCCCTTCTTCCCTTGCCCCCCCTCCCTCCCTAGGATGTGATACAAGTCATGATATCTGTGCCACTGTAAATGTACCTTCCCTATGCGATATAAAGTCTTTGTTTGACATGAAACAGGATGGAATACTAGATCTATCTACTTTTAAATGTCCTGACTATTTTAGTTTTGAAACTCTGATGACAACGGTGGATGCAACCTTCAGCAGAACATGGGATTTCTGAAGCATTTTTATATACTGGGTGCAGGCTGAGTATTCTTGTAATAACATAAAGAAACATTCATGTTTTGAAAGTATCTAATATTGAAAGATAACAGCAGTACTTTCCATACTGCATGATTCATATGAGAAACTATAATATTTTGGTAATATAGGAATCTTCCAAGACCTCAACAGCTATCCTAATTTAAAAAAAATGCAGACTATAGTTCTTGACTGCTGTACAGGTAATGTATATATCCTACAGCCTATGAATAATAACAGAAAGAATATTTGTATAATCTTAGCAAAATTATTTCCTCCATTGGTGTAGGAACAGCTTCACTGTCTGTAACAGAGCTTTTCCAGTCTCCCTCCAGCTTACATGGCATCAGTATGCAGTCTGTTAACATGGAGAAGGCTGAGGTTAACTTCCTCCAAAAAGACCCCAGTTACCTTTCTGCGCTGCTTTTACTCAGACTAAATGAAAAATTGTCTGTAAAATTCCTAAAAAAAGTGTTGTTTTAACTGTATTTCTATGCATTCCAAATGTATCTCTATGCCATACTTACTGAAAATAAAGACTGCAGAGAGTGAAAAAGAGAATTCCTAGAGATCTTGTCAATACCAGTAAAGGCTCTTGTGGATTGTATACTGGAGGTGAATTTTCTAAGGCATGTATGTATAAAATTACGCATACCCCACAGTGTAGTACACTGAAAAGCAAGCCTGTGCCAGAAGAAGCAATAAAGTGTGTCAGCATGGTGCTGCGGCTGGAGGACTTGGCATGGTGAGAGGCCTGGCTGAGTATCCTGCTATCATGTCACAGCAGTACAGCTGGGCAGCTTTCAGCGCAGAGACAGGGTTGTTCATGAATTTTATGTCAACATTTTCATGAAAAATTCAGGAATTTTGGGGGGTATATGGATGGAGCTCAAGACATCTCTCTTCTTAGTGAACGCCATCCTCATCAGCTAACCTAACTCTCTTTTTCCAGCTCTTCCCGGCCCCAATTGTCTTACCTTGCCTGGGGCACAGCACAACATCCAGGGAGTGGGCAGTGCCTCTAGTCTGACCCTCTTTGCATCTGTCTAACTAATGGGGCAAGGGCTCAAGCGCCAGCATCACTTCTAAGAATGAGATTCATATTTCTACAGCTACCAAGTTCTTTTGAAAATGTTGCCAGGGATCCTTCATTCAAACCTCATACGGTGTAGAGTACAGTTGCTTTCAAACACTCGTGGCGTATCTGGGATTTGTGGACAGTTATTTCTGATCCTGGCATGATGCTCTGAGCAGACTAAGATTAGAGATGGACCAAAATCTCAACTTTTGCCCAGCTAGCCTTCACTACAGTCTCTCAAACAGCATTTACGACTACTGAGCACTGTCAGAACCACGTGCTGGCAAAAGTGGATAACTAGTAAATTTTCACACATAACACCTATAGTTCTCATGCTTAACATTATTTCGCATGCTCATTAGGCCCAGTAGAGAAGTTTATTTTTCCCCAGGTACTTACAGCTTCATAGTCTGCTAGCTCTAGCCTTGCTTTGTTTTGCATTGTCCGCTTGCAGAGGTAAACGGCTGTAATAGAATAAAATAACACAGAATTTGCTACCATCTCACAAACCTGTTTTTCTTCATCTCTATTTTACTGCTAGCCTTTTTTGTTTTTATTTCTCCCTCTATTCTAAAAAGCTTTAAATATGGCACCAATGCTACCAGTATTGTAACTACAATGATGGGTCAGATACAGAGATTCATTAAATAGTTATAAAATGTGCTTTATGCAACAGACATCATATGCAAAATGCATGAGATACTTGGGGTGAGATTGTTTCATGGTCAGGGAACTAGCACATTAAAAAAAATGGCAAAAACATTTTTTAAACTGTGTGTGTATAACACACAATGTGTAAGATTTTTATCAGGAGTTGCTGCTATATTAGTCAAATAGGTTTTTAAGAATGTGTATACCTAGTTTTATTTATTTTTACTTTATAGTTCGAAATCACAAAAATTCAACCTAAGAAGATTTTATTTAAAAATTAATTTCAGAAAAAATTCAAGCCTCATACAGTATAGTCTGCTATGACCAATATTTAAAACAGAAAATAATGAGACCAAAAAATGAAAAAAGTGTATTATGTATTAGATATAATGAGAAAAAAATATTCTTTCATTGATTTTCTAGATCCAAATTCCTTCAGAAGAGTTGTTCTGTCTCCACCTCATTCAGACAGAGCAGAATCTTAACTAATAAATGGAATACTGACAGCTAAATACTGAAAGGATGCAGGGATGAAAATGCAAGTTACGGCTACATAAAAAGCACAGTGGTTAGCATCACGTTGCTTGATCCTGAATTCTTCATGTGCTCCATTACCCTTGAATGAAGTACATTTCCAATAGACTTTATTTAGCAATGAATACTCCACATCAGCTCTGAATATTTTACAGCTTCTGCAACCAGTAAGACAATGAGCGTAGCACAATTCCTTATTTTTCAATATTTACCCACTTTATTACTTCAGAGCACCTTCTCAGGTGTGAGATGGAGGAATCTTATGATCAGTGTAGGCGAGAAAACCTTAACTTGTCTGTGGTCTTTACGATCAGCAAAAAGAGCCCATATTTACTGGTTGTGGTTAGGAATGCTCCCGCTTCCTGACTGCCATCTTGTCCACTAGAGGAGCAAAGGGGAATCACTTCACATAAGAACCCAACTTTTGCAGTCACTAGGAAGAAGGAATTGTTCATCTTACATTTAGCTTTGATTTTTAAGGTAATCAGATCAATTATGTATTTTACAACTCCACGGAAACATTTATTTCTGATGTCACCTGCAAATGCATGCAAACCCACTCCACTGGATGTTATTTCAGTGGAACTGATGACAAGTACTTTTAATAACTCCGGCTGCAGTTACAGGTGTTACTTGTTGTCGTCTATTTTTTCCTCATTTTGTGTGTTATCTGGTCTATTTTCTTTCACACTTTTACACTTTCTACTCCCATAAGAAGCCATAGTCTCTTTCTCTATTCCCTGCACTCCCACATCCCCCCTGGTTCCAAAGCAATTTCTGTGTCTACAAAATCTGCTAATACAGACACAAATCCACATCACACATCAAGTACAGCAGACAAACAGTATCTATAGCCTCAGCTTCCACGCATTTTAATATTAGTATACACTTACAATAGTGCATTAGCATGCATGCTGAAATGTCACAGAGATGAGAGGATGAATTCTGGACCCTTAGTAACTAGGTTGTGTCCATAATCAGTAGAGTGGTAAGAGAATACTGACGAGAGAGATGGTCTTTGTCATTTAGCTCCTTTTACAGTGAAGCACTTTCCTATCTTTTTCTTCAAAATCAGTTATATCACTGAACAAGGAAGAAAAGCTCCTAAACCCCTTGAAAATATTAGCAATAAAATAGATATTTAATAGAAACAGGTAGACAGTTCTGAGAATTCCGATGGCCTCATTCTGTCTAGTCCAACAAATCTAACACCATCTGAACAGAAAGAAAACAAATGCCTTGTTTTCTGCACTGGATTAAGCCCTTGTAAACCACATTTTGTGGTTCTTGTAAAGGCACTTCAGTTAGTTTAGCACTTCCTTGAGTCTCATTGTGGGTGTACTTTGGGATTAGCATCTCCTGCTACCTCCAACAACAATTGTTGCTGCCGAGGTGGCTGACTGTCCATCTTTCTGTCATGATAGGTTTTAACAAGAAACCGTCTTCGGATCACAGAGTTCTCAGCACTGGCAAAACAACCACCAGGTCACCAGCAGTCGGAGAGAGGAATTAGCTTGCCACACTATTAATCTAGTACTGCATCTAAGAAAACTCTTGTCTCCACTGTGTGACTGCACTGCAGTATCTTTCTGCTGGGTTATTTTAAAGACCCTTTTTGCTCCAGCTCCATAGCAAATACAAGAAGCACTTTTTTTCATTATGAGCATATCACAGAATCATAGAATGGTGAGGGTTGGAAGGGATCTTAAAGATCATCCCGTTCCAAGCCCCCTGCCATAGGCAGGGGGGCCCTCCAACACAACTATCCAGCCTGGCCTTGAACACTGCCAGTGAGGGGGCAGCCACAGCTTCTCTTGGCAACCTGTGCCAGGGCCTCACCACCCTCATCGTAAAAGAATTTCTTCCTTATATCTAATCTAAATCTCCACTCTTTCAGTTTAAAGCCATCACCCCTTGTCCTATCACTACATGCCCTTGTAAAAGGTCCTTCTCCAGCTTTATTGCAGACCTCTTCAGGTAAGGTATCTTAGCCAAGACTCAAAAAATCATGTTCACCTCTCAGACGTTTTTGTCTGCACTATCCAGATCCCGTTCCCTTCAGGAGCCTAAAGGTTACAATTCCCATAGTTGGATTCTTTGTGTCAGAAATGTTTCTGTGTGCCAGTGCGGATAACGCAGAACATGTCCAAGAACAAATTAGTTATCTAGGCAATATGACATATCCACTAGCATAGAGGAAAATAGACCTGAAGTACATTCCTACTCTTTGACTCAATTTGCTGCCATTGCTGTGTGCTAACAATTACATCCTTATTATAGAAGTGCATGTTTAAGAGCTACTATTACTGCTGGCAGCAGCTCAGGAACTGGAGTTCACCATTTCACACTCTTGTTATCATATTCTTTGGCTTGTCTGTAATAAAATTCACTAGCACATTGGAAAGTAAGAAGAATGTGAAAAATTGCTCTGATTTTTAGCCAGAACATTTGAAGACACAGAGAAAGGAGGTTTTGTTCTTCTGACTTTTAGAGCAATGAGATCTGAAATACAGATGCTCCCATCTTTCATAGGTACCATTCTTTTTCTGCATCAAAACACATACGAAATAATTTCTTGTGTCCAGTAGCCTGAACTTGAGCATCTGGGAAGGATGTCAGTCAGTTACCTGTTTCTCTCTCAAAGCAGAGTCATGAGCCCTCAGCAATTCAGAGAATGACAGTGTCTGCTTTTCTAATCCCATTGTTTGTATGAGTTGTCAGTGTTCTTACAGCTTGATACAGAAGCAACTCTACTTCTCTATTTATTTGTCTATTTATCTGCCCACCCAGGGTCTTGGACAGGGGTCTCAGTACACCACAGAGCTGTAATTGCCCCAAGCAGCCCATCCAGGGTCTTCACTGAGGTCCCCTGCAGGGAGCTGTGCTCAAGCCCAGCCACTTCCCTGGGCCTCCGCCTGAGCTACAACGTAGATACACCTCTAACCAGCCCTGTAACATACCAACGCTGCCCTGGCTTCCTGGCTTGACCTTGGACCTTCCTGGAGACTTTGTCAGTGAGGACATTGCTCCTGCCTGCACTGTTGCCACCCTCAGTTCTTGCTTACCTTCCCTTGCAGAGCTGCCCGCTCTTGTCGCTCTCTGACAACAGTGCTGAAAAATGCTTAACGTATGGATGAATGACATGCAAGGAGCAGGGCCTGATTAATAACCTCAATTTGCTAAATATGGACTGCCACATACACTCTTATTTTTAGAGCCAGTGTATTCTAGTGGATTTTGCAATCAACATAATTGCCTCCACTAAAGTGAATCATGTATTAGATGCTATAGCTTGTGTGTTAGAAGTGACTGATTATCAGGAGAAAACAGATTTGCCAATAATTTTAAAAGCAATATTAATACGCAATATTTCATAATGAAAGATGGTCAGTGACGTTTATAAATGGGCATTTGAACTAGAAACCAGCACTAAAAGACATTTTGGTAGCTGTGCAGTAAATACAGACTACTCACTCTTGAAAATTCTGTTCAGGCATTTACAGAACATGGGCAACGTGAGAGCTCAAAGTGAGACTGCAAAATGTTCTAGAGAGAGTTGCACGAAGAGGGCATCTGGGTTTTCCCTCCTGCAAGTTTTTGAACTGTTAGACCCAAAACTACACATTTTTATGGTTAGGTAACCTTTCTTTCCTATTCTTGACTGTCCACTTGTACTTGAAAGCTCCACACAAACCTCTATACATTTTTTCCTTTAAATAAGATCATAGTGATAATGACAGGTTTCATTCCAGAATCAAGCAACTGGACCGAGTACACATTATCTTACACACGCTTACTGAAAAAAGCCAGAGCTTTCACCCAAATGTTAAAGTGGCAAATTTAAGCTTGTTGCTTAACAGGGGCTAAATCTTCCCTCTTACTACAGCAAAGAAAAAGCCCCAGCTAAATTCAATGGAAGTACAACTGGGCCTCTGAAAACCATGGATAATGCCACCTACACATCCACCACGATGAACGCAAACGCCTTACATAATTGTCCCAGTGCCAGTGGTGTTACAGCTTGATTCAGCCCCAGATGGTGCGTGTAGCTTTCAGTGAGGCCAGATTAATTTTATACTCTCTGTGATTCAAAATTCTGGTTTCAGAGTCAGTATGTACATGACTAGCCAGTATTTAAAGAGCAAAGAAACTAGAAAGTACTGCAGGTTCTAAGGGCTTCAGAGTGCCCTGTGGGAGACAGAAGTTCTCCCTCCATATGCAAGTGCCTGCATCAGATGGAGAATTACAGGACAACTGTCACAGAACTTGACTGCAGGAT